TGCGATCATTATGAACTACAAACATGTATTAATAAAAATTTAAAAAATTTTAAAAAGCAAATGAGAACTAGTATTTTTGATGTATTTTCTGGTAATTCTCAGTTTCAGGCCTCACCCACTTTCACAGAGTTAATGTAACAGGCCCATATGACTGGTACTGGCCACTTTCTTGTTCCTGTGTTGATTACTTATCCTTCTTCAGGGTCTACTCTAGCTTCAGTTTTCACATTTTCTCATTCCCCTTTTGAAGTCCACTGACTAGCTGGGATTTCAGGTGTGCTTCACCACACCTGGCCTATGTTACATTTTTTTTCTCAGTACAATAGCCCAAATTTCACTATAAAATAACAGTAATACAAATTACCTTCATTTTTTTTTTTCTTGAGACAGGGTCTCACTATGTAGTTGAAACTGACCTGGAGCTATGTAGCCCAGGCTGGTCTCAGACTCACAGCAATCATCCTGCCTCAGCCTCCTGAATGCTAGGATTATAGGCATGCGCCACCATGCCTGGCTAACAGTAACACAAATTAAATGAAAATAAAATTGGAGGCAATATGCTCTAGGTCTGGTAACTTCGAAGGAAAAAGTTAGGCAAGCTAAAATAAGAAATCTTTAAGAGCAATGAAATTTGGCTTTTTGTGTAAAGTGATGGTAATAAAATTCTAGGGGTGAAGAGAAATTTCCCTTCCTCCCTCTGAAGATTTTCTGGAATAAAGGATGATTTCAAGGAAATAAAATACAAATTTTCATATTCTAGCCATCCAGTTTTCCTCTCTGGGGGCAAACATTGTTATTGGTTTCCTGTATACTTCCCAAAGGTCATTTATACAGATGTGGGGATATATGAGCTTTGACTACTCCACCTTACTTTAATCATATATGTTGGGTCACTTTCCATATTGCAGAGAAAGAAAAATAAATATTTTCCCTTGCTTCTCATGTTCAGTTTCTGGAGAACTTACAAACTGAGTTGACAAAACATAGATCAACAGAGAGGAAAATATGGTTTGCATATGGGAACACATAAGAGAAGGAGCTGACTCATTAAATGGTTACAGGCTTATATACCCAATTTACTAGGGAAAAGAGTTGTGTGTGTGTGTGTGTGTGTGTGTGTGTGTGTGTGTGTGTGTGTGTGTAATAGTTTCTACCAAAAATTCAAATAGTTTCCTTTAGGAAAGACATAGAATTTCAGAACAGACAAAGTCTGTGACAATGCTCCTCTATACAGGTATGACTATCTTTCCAGTTTCTTTAAGGTTACAAATCAGAAGATTTATGGTAGCCCCGTTGCCTGGAAATTGCTGCTTTTATTAATATAAGGAAAGCTCTGAAAAGGCATTTTCTCCCTCATCTGGTGAAACTCATATGTTTTCAGTTTAAAATAATTTTTATGTTAACTCTGGCCTTCTAAATTGATCCCCATAAGGACACCCTACCCTGTACCCCACCCACAACTAGGGATCAAACCTAGGACCTTGTGCATGCCAGGTAAGCATTGTTTTACCCCTGGGCTATATCTTCAGCCCAGGAGCATCCTTATTTTTAGTAGCTAAATCATCTGTGACTTTATGGCTGTGATATTATTCAATCAGTAACTTTAGATTTTTCCTAATAGTTTACTATAACAAATGAATAACCATGGTTATGATCATATGCATTCTTTAAACATGAATTCAATATGAATATATTGTATGCTGAGTTCCTCAAGTATGCAATGGACATATACATTTGAATTTCAACAGCCATTTTGTTTCTATAGATGCTCTCACCAGTGTATTTAATTTTCTGTTTCGGTTGGTGCAATAAGTAATCTTTTCTTGGCCAGGTCTTCCTATCCAGGGATATTCAAATGACCAACAGACCAACAAGACCAGGGATGTAGCCTGTACTTATTTGGCTGAATCTGGTTTACTTCCACTGAAAAATTTGAATATGGCAAGATAATGTGGAAATACAAAGAAGAAACCATAAGATTCACAGGGAGAAGATTCACATACTATGAAGCCACAGAGGTCCTAAGAAAGTAGCAGTGAGGGCTGGGGGCTTAGTTCAATATAAACTAGTAGCCTAGCATGCATGAGGCCCTGAGTTCAATTTCCAGCACCACAATATATAACTACATAGCAATGAGGAAGAAAACTAAATAATCAAGAAACCTTGACATACAGTATGTATAAATATAGAGGATGAGATCTTTGAAAATAGCTGGAACAGTAAAAGCAAAGGCAGAAAAGGAAAAACAAAGATAAGCTGTATGGCGGGGATAAAGTAAGTCCTTCTAAAAGAAAGTGATGCCTAGGCTTGAATTCTGAACATCTTTAATTCTGAAGCCATGTGGCAGCCTTGCAAATCTCAGCTGCTTCACTATTGTTGAATTCCTGTGATTTCACCGCAGTCCTTAGGTCAATACATTTAATAAGTGTTTACCGTAAGGTACTCACTATGGCAGGCACTTGGGGTATAAAATAAAGATGATTCCTCTCTCAAGGAATGCACACTCTTCAGATAGTCACAAATAATAAGAAACACCCACAAAGATTCTCCTTAACTGAACTCTAGCCAGGCTTCTCGAAACCCTCTATTGTTATTATTGTTGTTGTTGTTACATATTTTTGGTGGTATTTGGGTTTGAATCCAGAATTTTCACACTCATTACATCCTCAACCCTTTTTGTTTGTTTTTTTGGTACCTGGGGTCAAACTCAGGACCTATGCACTTGCAAGGCAGGTGGCAGAACCATTGGACTAAATCCGCAGCCCATCAGCTCTTTTTATTTTTATTTTTATTATTTTTGGTACCAGGTATTGAACTCAGGTCCTTGTGCTTGCAAGGCAGGTGGCGGAACCACTGAGCTAAATCCCTGGCCCAGCTCTTTTTATTTTTATTTTTATTATTTTTGGTACCAGGTATTGAACTCAGGTCCTTGTGCTTGCAAGGCAGGTGGCGGAACCACTGAGCTAAATCCCTGGCCCAGCTCTTTTTATTTTGGGACTGGGTCTTGCCACGTTGCCTAGGCCAAGCTCTAACTTGGAATCCTCCTGCCTCAGTGTTCCAAAGTACTGGGATTACAGGTGTGTGCCACAATATCCAGCAAGTCCCTGTGTCTTAGAAACAACAGAACCGTTGGAGGCTTGGGATGTACCTCAGTGGTAGAGTACTTGCCTAGCACATATGAGGCCTGGGATTTGATCCTTTGAACCACAAAACTGAAGTGAAACAAAAATAATAGAATCCAATATACAATTGTCATGCTAAGCAAGGTGGAGCCTACTTGAAAGAAGAGTCTAATAAGTGAGATATATTCCTATTCTGTACTTTTTCATCAGGAAAAGGATATAGGAATAGAGACACTACTTTTTTTACTCAAGTGATTTTAAGCAAATTACACATCTCTTTGAAATGTGATAATGTCTGTCCTGCTAATTTCAACTGTTAGGTCTAAGGGTTCTTAATTGGAAGCAACAGAAACCATCTATGCGTGATTTAAGAGCAGAAAAGAAATTTTTTAAAGCTCATGAAATGGCTCACAGACTTTCCAGGAGGCTGGAGAAATAGGCTAGAGTTCTGCTCCCAGTAAAGCCTCTTAGCACAGTCACTACAGCTTGCACTAGCATACTCAGTCTCCCGCTCCCTTGATCGCTGCTGACAGACCTTTGCGGTCTTAGAACCTGAGTAACTGAGGCTGTCGCCCTTCCTTGAATAGGTTCCACGAAGGTCTGCCTCATTCACGTTTGGAGTGTGTGTGTCAGACTAGATTGGCGTGTCCAGCAGACAGTATGCTCATGCCTCAGAAATAAGGAAGACTAAGAAAGCTGGCATCAGTCTCTTTCGTTTACTATGGGGGAGGAGCAGTAAGGGAGGTACACTGTCAAAACTGGTTAGCTCCGTAGTGACCAAAAGGACGACAAATGACTACGGCACACGGGTCAGGCCCAAATGAGATAATTACAAGAAAGTATTTTATAAATTTTAAGGAAGGATGGAGCTATGTGACATTACTGCATTTTGCACTGCACTGGTTTTAAACTCCTTGAAGGCAAGCACATATGAGAATAAATCTGGATGTGAATAATATATGTGTAAATTGGAAATAATGGGTAAGATATTTTGTTTTTCTTTTCCCGGTACCAGGGATTGAATTCAGAATCTTGGCGCTTGGCAGGCAGGCACGGCGACACTGATCTATATCCCCAGGCCTAGGGTAAGATAATATTGAAATGTCAGTTTGTGTGCAATTAATTTGCTCTCTGTATGAAGACCAGAAGAAAACAAAGTTTATGTTATTTTATTAGAAAAGTGGGATTTGGGACCATTTGATTCTCAATTATTTTTGTACAAAGTGGTGATTGCAAGTAGTTTCTAAAAAAATTTTTTTTGTAAGAACACTTTTCCTCTAATTCATAGCCTTCCACACTTAGATCAAAGAACTCTAATGAAGGGACATTTCAAGAGACCAAGCTTCTAATTAGGATAGATGGTGATAGAATCGCAGCCATACTTAATGTCTGTGTTATGCAGTAACAGGAGGGAAAACCAAGACAAATTAAGAATAAAAAAATTGTACAGTATATTGCCTTTACTTAATAACTTCTAAGTATTCTTAACCCGTTGCGTGGTAGCAGATAGTTATTTAGCGATATAACATCAGTTCAGGTAAGGCCCTTAGAAGTTTCTTTATCAAGAAAATCATGACAACGGAGGTGGGCGTTATGGCACAGGCCTATAATCAGCACTAAGGAAATTGGGGCGGCAGGATGGAGATTTCGAGGCCAATCTGAGCTATATTAGAGGACCCTGTCTCACAAGAGAAAAAGGAAAAGGCAACCAAGGCGTTGGAACACAATCGTCTCTTCTGTTTTCCACAACTTGTTGTTTTCCATTTCTTCCAAAAAATAATTGCGAAATCGGGAAATAAAAATCCCACAGAAGTTACTTCTCAAACATCGCGATAACATTTTGATCTCGTTCAGTTTGTTGCTACGGGGATCAGAGGCGGAAGATTGGCCAATCAGGAGGAGGGATCTTTTTCAGTTCCGCCCTCGTTGCCGGGATACGCCGAGGCTCACAGACGCTCCGGGTTAGGCCTGAGGGCCCTGGAAAGCAGAACTGAAGTGAACCAGGAGCTTCGAGGAGGCTACGAGTGCCTGTGGGCTCCTCAGCTGTGGCGGCCTCAGAAAGTGGTTGGAGCCCTGCGGCTGCCCTTCTGCGCCCGCGGAGGTGAGAAATCCTAGGTCACATCCCTCTTCCTTCCTTCTTTGCCAGGTGCCTCTCGTAGGCGACCCTGATTGCTCCAAACAAAACAAATTCGAATTATTCTGCCCAAAGCTGTTAGCGACGGGGTCTTTGCCCGGCCAGGGAAGTTCTCACTTCTTTTTGGGCAAGAGGTATGCGGTGATCTCCTCAGGCATCCATCTCCTGAGCAGACTGCCACACCAAGACCTTGGGGAAGGATCAAGAGCCTCAGAGAAGTCAGTGTGTGCTGAAGGGTTTTACAGAGTACTATGGTAGATTTCTGTCTGTTTACAGAAGAAAGGACTTAGCACCTTGCCACTACATATATGTGAGAGTGGTTAGCTTAGGGAGGCAAAAGCTAGTAATAATAATTAGGAGTCAAATATTTTTCATATAATGTGTGTAATCTTCACAATCCTGCAAGGTAGGGCTCCTGGCCGTACCTCTGCTTTAGAGACAAGGAAACATCCAGAAGGATTAAGTGATGTGTCAAAATTATGCAACTGATGACTGTCAGAGGTAGAGTTTGTGTTCCTAATCTTTCTGGAACCAAAGGATGGGCTTGTATGAATATTTGGTATTTGGTTGAATAACCCCAGAGTTTACTAGTGCCTCTCCTCTCCTTTTTTCTTAATCCCTGCTGGGACTGATGGTATATTAAGCCTTTTCTTCTATAGTAAACCACTGGCAAAGAAAATCAGGTGGAAGTATATTGTACATTTTCTGAAAGTTACCTGAAAAACAGGGCAGTGACTAATTCTGCTGGAAACAAAGGGTTTTCCCTATTAGCTTTTGGAAAAAGAAGGTGTAGGTAGTAGGTGGTTATAGAGTGGTCGTGGAAGGGTTCCTAGAATCTAAGATAGGAGGTGAGATGCATGTTAGGCAAGGGGGCTAATTAGGAAGCTGATGTAATCTGCTTGAGTCAGTGAGACCCCAAACTGGCCAGTGCTGGAGGAATAGAAAGAAAGGAAGTACTTTTAGGAAAATCAGTAGGACCAAGTGATTAGCTATGGGGAGTGAGAGGGAGGAGAAATCAGGGATGAAGTTTGTTGCTTATGTGAGCAGGAAATGGCACCGAAAAGAACACATTTTGGGGGATGAAGCTGAGCTTAGATTTACATATGTTTATGCTGAAATATCTAGATAACGTCTGAAATGTTAGGTAGTTATATTTGGGTGTGTTGGGGCTGGAGATATGGAGTTGTGAACTTATGAATTGTTAAAACCCTGAGTATGGATGAGGTGGTCCTAGGAGAGTTTAGAGAGAAGAAAGAAAAATAAGCCATAGAATAAGTTCAGAGACTGAAAAGGGAGAATCCAAAGAGGCGAGTGTTAGAGAGATGATTTCCTTAAGGGTGGACAGATGACATCTACATCCCTGGTGATTTTAGCAGAGGTTGTTTGAATGGAAATCTAGTAATGTAGGAGCTCATGAAAATAGGCTACTTTTAAGAGTTTGTGTAGCAGAGTGTAGTTCCTCTCTCCCTCACTTTGGGCCCCGTAAGAATGTTTGAGACTGACTTAGAGATGGTTGCAGGACCAAGAAATTTATTTGTGTGGTTAAGAAATGCAGTTCAGTGTGACAGTAGGCTGCAAGAAAGGAGAAAATTTAAATATATCAGGGAGAGTGGAGGTAATGCCCCAAAGAAGGTGGGAAGGATAATGTCCCAAAGGTAGTGGGATCAAGAGGGAAAATCAGAATAGAGATTGATCTTGAATGAGAGATGGAATGATTCTTGACATTGGAGGACAGGATGAATGTAAATTTTGTGCTCTGAAGGTTATGGAATATATGTCCTAATTTTCTCAGATTAGTAAATCAAATCATTTGCTGAGAGTGGCAGGAACAGAGATTAGATAGAAACGATGATTAAGAAGCGGAAACATCAAGGAGATATACTTAGAGGAGCTTGCATTTTGGTAAGATAATAGATGAAGAAGAAATATTGTAATAATCCTATAGTTCTAAGTGGAGCCATAATGTCACATTTGAACAAAATTAAAGTAGGCTTAGTCTTGTAATGGTACCTGGAATGGCAATTTGCAAGAAAAATCATCATGAGTTAAATGTTTGAAGGAAGGCTATGATGGGCCACTAGTGTTTTGCTGTAAAAGACATCTAAGGATAATTGAACTATTTATTTTTTCCAGTGGTTTATATGAACGGAAAATGGCCAGTAATCACAAATCTTCATCCCGCCCTGTTTCACGAAGTGGAATTGGGCTGACAGGAAGGCCTCCTTCCGGAATACGACCTCCATCAGGACATATTCGAGTGACAACTGGAGTAAGTTTAAAAGAAATTTATTGAGCTCTTCTATGTATTTTCTGGTAGAAGCTAGAAATCCCTATATCTTAAAAATTATGTTTTTGTTATTCCTTTATTTTTTAAGGACATGATTTAAGCGTTTTTTGGGAGGAAACATATAAAACTATAAATGTGGAGGAATCTCAATACACTATTGCTGATTCACAAATTTGTTTTAGAGCTATAATAATTTAAGTGGTATGGTATATTGGGGCCACAATCAAATTAAATGGAATAGGCTAGAAATAGAATCAAGTATATATAAGAATTTAATTATTAAGATGACATTAAATTAATTGATAAAGGCAGAGAATTCCAGAGAACATTAAAAAAACTAATAAATTATTTGTTTGAAAACATTTTTGAAGGCCAGGGATTTAGTTCAGTGGTGCTACCACCTGCCTTGCAAGCGCTAGGTTCTGAGTTCGATCCCTGGTACCAAAAAACAAACAAACCATTTTTGATCACCTTCACATCTTTTTAATTATGGTATCATATGTATACTAATAAAAATTTAAAAATTAAAAACAGAAACTTGATGTTTTAAAAATGAAACCATAACTGTATTAAGGGAAGATATAATCAAGAGTGTAAATAAACTTGATGTGAACTAGAGCTTTATAATTATGACAGAAACACCAAGCAATGAAAAGGAAAGCTGTTTGTGTGTGTGTGTGTGTGTGTGGTAACAGGGATTGAACTCAGGACCTTGTGCTTGAGAGGCAGGTGGCAGCACCACTGACCTAAATCCCTGGCCCAGGAAAGCTTTTTAGATTTATATATTTGAATTTATAATAAAAATATCATTAAAGAATTAAAAAGAAGCAATAAAGTGGTAGAAAAACATACCTAGGATTCAGAATCTTAAAGAGCAAGCTTTGCTTATTTATAGATGGTCTCTCTCCCTCTTCCTCTCTAGCTTTTTAAATTTTTAATTTATTTTAGACTGCATCTTACTCTGTAGTTTAGGCTGGTCTTGAACCCACTGTGTGGCTGCCTCAGCCTCCTGAATGCTGGGATTACAGGTGTGTGTCATCGTGGCTGGCTGAGCTCTTTCTATAAGACTATAAACTTTATGTCCAAACAAATTCCATGAAATTGTTCTCTGGATTGGGTGGAACATCATTATACATCTATTCCAAAATTCATTAAGAACAACTTTAAAAGGCAAAAATAAGAAAAGTATAATAGCCTAATATAAAAGTACTATGAGTATTACTGAAACTGTACTCAGATTGCTACAACCTGGAAACAAACTCTAGAAAATGTTAAAAACTATTTTTAATATAATGTAGCATCATGTCAGTGAATCAGTAAGAGAAACACCACATTTTAAAAAGTTGGATAAAGTTTACAAACTGCTAGTTCTAGTTTTACAGTTTAAAACCTATAAAAATAATTACTACTTTCATTATTCTAATAGTGAAAATTTGGAAGCACCTTAAATGACCTTATCACACGAATCTTACATTATGATGTGTTTGTTATCATAGTAATCTATAGGTAGTCATTAATTTCCAGCTGGATGTAGTGGTGCATGCCTGTAATCCTAGAACAAGGAAGGCTGAGACGGGGATTGTTTTAGGCTACATCAGGAGTTCAAGGCTAGCCAGGACTACATAGTAAGAAATCTATCTCAAAATAATTTAAAATATGTGTTTGATAAAAGAATATACTTTCATAATGCGGTATTAAGAAAGAAGCAGGGTAATATCAGTTTAACATGCAAGCATACATGTATATATCATAGAAAGAAATGAAGTAGAAAGACATGAATACATCAAATTGTCCATAGTATTTTCTCTGATATTGACACAGATGGTTTTGACTAACTCAATAGGTGTGTAGGGCTAATACTAAAACTCCAATGAAACAGAGATATTACTGAGTCCTGTGTTTCAGTTTAAAGAGGACAGCATTTCTTCAGAGGGGGTAGAGAATATTTTTGAGATGTTTGGGTTTTCCTAAAGTTTTCAGGTTTTCTCAAGTTTCGGGTAATTACCACATTACCATCCTCTAGACAGAAATGGTTTTTCTGAAGTCTTTTTAGACAGTATATGGTACTAAGCTAGGGTACCTTTTTTATTTTAGTAAAAATTGATGCTTGTTTTTTTAATTGAATTTATTGGTACATTCTAGGTAAACAGTACAGTTACATTCATTACTGGGTTCTTGTACCTTTACATGCCAGGTCTTGGTTCTCATTTTTTCCCCTTGTCCCCGCCCTCCCTTCTCCCCCTCCCTCCCCTCCCCACCTTCAAACACTTTAATTCCATTTTTACATTTTCTCATATTTTTTTTCCTTTTCCCTTATTCCCCTTTCCCTATCCTCACTGTCCCTATACCTTTGGTCCCTTTCTTCCTATTTCACATTGCTAATTGCCCCATTAGGATCTTGAGTACTATTTCAGTTTTTCACACCCGAGAAACTATTCGGTATTTGCATATGTGTGACTTATTTATTTCACTTAGGAGTATATCCTCAAAATGAACCCATTTACCTATGAATGACTACTTTTTCATTCTTTATGGTTGAGTAGTACTCCATTTCATAGAAAAACCACATCTTTATCCAGTTTCCAATTGATGGGCAAATGGGCTCTTTCCAAGTTTTAGCTATTATAAACTGTGCTGCTATGAACATGGGTGTGCATATATGACTGTGATATGATTCTTTCAATTCTTTTGGAAAGATACCCAACAGAGGGATGGCTGGGAAATTGATGCTTGTTAATGTAATATTTATAAAAGAATCTGACATTTATTCACTACCTCCTATTTGTGAGGTAATTTTTTTTTTAATTTTATTTATTTATTTTTTTTGGTACCGGGGATTGAACTTGGGTCCTTGCGCTTGCAAGGCAGGCCACCGAACCGCTGAGCAACAGGGACCTAAACAGCATCTTTCTGCCCCTTTTATCTGGACTACTTAGGGTTGGGTAGCACTTACACCCTTAATCCTAGTGCCTTTGATCCTAGCATTGTACCATGAATCTATTCCAGCATCACACACTCTAGACCCAGCCACTTCTGAGAAAGCCCTACTATGACCGCAGGAGGCTTTGGGGGATATCTAAACACAAGCCGTGACAGCTTGTGTAAAGCTAAAGAGAAATTATTTAGGAGGTTTTTCCAAGGGGGGATTTAGCATTTTCTCAGAGATCACTTAGGCTAACCTTGAGCTCATTTCATTTAACTTCGTAAGTCTGTGGCCAGCAAATTCTCTGTAATGTGTACTATTGCTGCCCCATCTTCAAAATAATTCCCAAGTGATTTTCAGAATCATTTAACAATCGTTTTGTTTTATGGAATTTAAGAACTAACAGCTAACAATTAAAAGCAAAAAGCATGATGGTAATTGTTTTTAACTTCTATCTCAAATTTCTACCCCATATTAATCTACTACTGTACTTCACTTTGGTAGGGAAGTAAATAGAAGAAAAGAAGGTTAGGAGGATAGAACAGAAGAAGGAGGAGTATTTTGGAACACTTTGAGATTGTCTTTTATATTTTCTATTCCTGTCCTGTATGAGCTGAAAAGAAGTGTCTTTTCTTGTCTTGTCTTTTCTTATGGGTGTGTAATGTTACATTGAATTTTGCAAACTTCAAGTAGAGAATTATTTTGAGTAATCATACAAATCCTTTTTGAATGAAATCAGTCCTTTAGTACTTAACATGGCTGTCTTGTGATGGAATCATGTCCAATTTATTTTTCATATGATGTATACTCCTAGTAAGGCATGGTGCATGCCTTTAATCCCAGCACTCTGGGAGGCTGAAGCAGGAGGATCACAAGTTTGACCTCAGCCTGGGCAACTTTGTGAGACTGTATCTCAAAATCAAATAAAGAATGGGCTGGGGATTTAGCTCAGTGTTTCCAGCACCTGCCTTGCAAGCGCAAGGACCCGAATTTGATCTCCAGTATAAAAAATAAAAATAAAAAATTGATTAAGAAGGTTAATATATATATTCATTATTATAATGATGAAATCACCAAATTATATAAAGGAGAAAATATAAATCAACTACAATATGTAGAAATAACCATTGTCACTATTTTTAATGATTTTCTAGACTTTTTTTTTTTGTACCGGGGATTGAACTCAGGTCTAGACTTTATTTTTACAAAAATAAAATTATGCATACAATACTGCCCTGTAAACTACTTTATTATATACTACAACTTATTTAACCATTTCCTTTTGTGGACATTCAGTTCCTTTCCAGTTCTGAAATATTATAGTCTACACATAAAATTTAAAGTTTTAATAAAATATGGTATAGTCATAGAATTTTAAATGTTGAAGAAAATTATTTAATAACATTGAATAGTATATTTTAGATATTGAAAAAACATAAAGACTATTTTATCATTTGTATAGAATTTAATTTGTCTCAAAAATGCTCTTCGCAATCTAGTAACAGTAGAAGGTATAATTATTTTCCTTCTGTTTGAGAAAAGTAAAATCTTGTTATTATTTAGACGCCACCTGGAACAGCAAGACCAGGCTCTCGTGGCCCCTTGGGGACTGGTGGGGTTTTGTCATCTCAGATCAGAGTTGCTGACCGTCCTGTTACACAGCAAGGGTTGAGCGGAATGAAGACTGGGATGAAAGGTAGCTGTAAAATGAGATTGTAACTAATGATTAATGAGATTGTAACTTAATTACTAAGTCAGAATTACAGCATGTAGTTCTTTTTCATTGCCTTCCAAAATTGCTACAACACGATGAATGTGAAAATGCATTGTAAACTCGAGAGTCATATACATATAACAGCTGTCTTGATCTTCATTTTTCTGAATGCAGAACTTTTTTATTATTGAAGAAATTTGAAATGATTTGAAGAAAAATCCAGGATTGAAAATTAAACTTCTTACACCATATACAATAGTCTGAAATATTTAAAGAGTATCAAAATGATACTCTTAAAATACCTGCATTAAGAGTCAAAAATGTTACTTTTTTTCTGAAATTAATACTCAGTTATACAGCTAACTTATAGGAAGGAGGCTAACATGTAGCCATATGAGCCTCTCATCAGGTCTCTGTTTAGAAAGGCATAATGATGCATTATATGTTGTGATTCATAAATTTGATTTTATATATATATAAATGTATGCCAAAACTTGATAGACTTTTTAATAAAGAATTTTTTGATTTCTTTATGTGTGACAATTGCTTTATCAGGGCTGAAGTTATTCTGTTGGTAAAAAATTTATTTTAAGATATTATGCTTTTTTTCTATAGTTTCTACATCTGCAGATTCAATAACCGCAGATCAGAAATAGAAAAAATAAAACAAAATCCAGCACGTATACTGAACATATACAGACTTTCCTGTCAGTATTCTCTAATTAATACAGTAAAACAGCTATTTATATAGTATTTATCTTTTATGAGGTATGATAAACTAGAAATGATTTAAAATACTTGTGAAAATGTGTGTATTACATACAAAACTCTGCCATTTTATATGAAGAACTTGCATATCCCTGGATTTTGACATCCATGTGGGAGTCTTGGAAGCTGTCTCCTGCAGACACTGAGAGATGATTATGTTTTTTAGAATGTAGTAAGTCATGCTGTTCAGGAGATTTACCTCTCCTCCCCACTCCACTCCGTTCCTCTCCGCTTCTCTCCTTCCCACTCCTACCTTCCCTCTCCTCTCCTCTTGTGGGAGTGGGGTTTGAATCCAGGGCTTTCCATGAGCTACATCCCCAAATCTTTTTTATTTATTTTGAGACAGGGTCTCACTCAGTCACTAATCATGTAATCTGGGATTGAACCTGAGATCCTCCTGCCTCAGCTTCCTTGAGTGCTAAGATTACAGTTGTGTGCCACCACACCTGGCTTAAATTTTCTTACATTACTATTTAGCTCACTAAATATTAAAACCCAATTGATTTCTTTTAGACATCTGTTTAATAATTATCAGTAGTGTTAACAAATGAGTCAAAATTCTGTAATAATTTTAACTATTCTTAAATAATATATTGACAGACATGCTTATGTGTAATATTACTTATTCAAAAACATTACAGGTAGAATCAGTAAAATTATCTGGAGGCTTTATTACATGTTTATTACTGTAAGGTTATCCTTCAAAACAGAACTAATATTATTTAAGATTATTAGTTTCTACCAGCATACATCAAAAGTTCACAGTTCTGTTAACTATGCACCCCTATCTGTTGTGAGTTTTGTTCTCACTCGCTTTTGTCCCATTTCCTGTTATAGTACGATGTTCCCTCTCTTTTCTCAGCATGGACCTCATGAAGGGGAAGTACTCTCTGGCCTCACCTCTCTCACTTTGCAGGACACTTCATCTCTTGCAAGGTCTGGACATTTAACCCAGAAAGACACTTAGTCCTACTAAAATATAAGATTATTTAAAAAAAAATTCTGAAGGCTTGGATGTAGCTCTATGATAGAGCCAAGTACTTGCCTAGCATGCATGAGGCCCTGGGTTCTAGTCCCAACACCAAAAGAAAAAAAAAAATCTCTGGGACAAATTTGAAAACTCATAGTCTCTTGCTTACAGTGAGAAATATTTGCACTCTCCAATAAGGTAGCCAGTAGTTGCTTACAGATACTCATTTAAATTAATTAGAATTAAGTAAAATAAAAATCATTTCTCTAGTAGCACCAGCCAAATGTCAAGTGCTCAGTAGTCCCATGTGAATATTTTACTCGATAATGCTAATATGTTTTGTTGCATTAAGTTGTTTCGGACAGCTGTTTTCCAGGCTTCCATAGACCTAAGTTTCCATTTAGTCAGTCTATCTATTGTCTTAACAACTTCACTTCAACCCCATCTTTGTGATCTTTTTGTTTGTTTCGTTTTAGTAGTAGTTGGGACTGAATCCAGGGCCTTCCTACTGAGATATGTCCCTTGGTCCTTTTTTCTTCTTCTTCTTCTTCTTTTTTTTTTTTTTCTTGAGACAGGGTTTCACTAAGTCACTAAATTGCCCAGGCTGGGCTTGAACTTGTGATCTTCCTTCCTCAGCCTCCCAGCGTGCTGTGATTACAGGTAAGTGCCACCATACCTGTACCTGGATCCATCTTTGTGATCTTAATTCAAGCTTCCCTTATGTGTTGATTCTAAGCTGTTAGTTGTCTTTTCCATTTCAGTGATTCTTCTTGATGTATTGGTACATTCATGTTGACTGACAGAATTGTCGCATGTAATTCTGGTTGTACTTTGGATTTGGACTTGCTATTTTGGTGGCATTTTGAAATAGAATACAAACATTAAAAAAACCTTTTTTTTTTAGGTCCCCAGAGGCAAATTTTAGACAAATCTTACTATCTTGGACTTCTTCGGTATGTTAAATAAACATGTCTTTGTATGATCATGAAATTTTAGCTATGGTACTTTTTTCAGTAACAACATGTCTGTTTTTTTTTTTTTTTCTGGTACCAGGGATTGAACTCAGGTCCTTGCGCTGGCAAGGCAGGCCTGAACTAAATTCCTGGCCCCTCATGTCTGTTTTTTTTTTTTTCTAAGAATTATTTTGTATTATAATAATCTTTTATTAATTTGGCTATAATACAAAGATAGATATGATAATAGGATTAGGCTAGGGTTTTAAATTTTATGCATTTGCATGTAAGCTGTATATTTTGTCTCTGTGCTGTTATAACAAAATATGAGAGATTGGTTAATTTGTATTTTACAAAATTTTATTTCTTATAGTCATAGAGGTTGGGAAATTCGGGATCAAAGTGCTGGCAGGTTTGATGTCAGGAGGGCCTGTTCCTTATTAATGGCACCATATAGGTGTGGTCACATGACGGAAGAGCAAACAGTGGCCGACTTGGTACATTTCAGCCCCTCCCTAAAGCGCTAATCCCATCTGACAGCAGCACCTTCATGGCCTAATCACCACCTTACGGTTCCACTTCTTAATTCTGTTGAACAGGATTCAATTTCATTATGAATTTTAGAGGGGACACAGACATTCATACTAACATATTTAAAGTTCACTGTTTTCATCTAGTAGTAAAAATAATTTTTTATGCTTTTTTTGGTATTTTCTTTTTTTGGTACTAGTGATTGAAATTTCTGTATTATTTTGACACATACTCATATTATTGAAATATTACTAATTATACCTAATAAGAAAGATGCATGTATTTACTTATGATATCATAGTCAAGAGTTTTGCTGGTCTGGGGATTTAGCTCAGTGGTTCTGCCTCCTGCCTCTCAAGCACAAGGTCCCGAGTTTGATACCCGGTACCAAAAACCAAAAAAAAAAGGGTTTTGCTTAAGTAGGGTCAGTTCATATAAATGTGGTCTAATTTTAATAAATTCATATGCTTTGTTATATGTCTGTAATTACACAGTTTTAAATTGATAACTTTTTTTTTTTGTTTTCTACCTACCTTAACTCTGCTCAGGTGTCCAGCTTTCTTACATTCATTTTCTTATTTTCCTGACTTGTCATCTGCTTCTTTCTCTCTTCCATTTCATTTAGTCCATCCTTCCATCATGCACAAAAAGCCTTATTTTCCTTTTCAGTCCTTCTTGGTTTTGTTTCTCACCTGTCTGGAAAAGTGTAGGTTTCGCCCATCTGTCCTCAAAGCTAAGATAGTAAGAAAGATAGTAAGGCCATCAAATGTATAATATCTGATATTCAGTCACTTTTTAATTAAAAGAAGGAAAGGAAATAGAACTATTGCTAATTGCTACATTACATCTCTTCTCCAGGGTTTATGCTTCTATATCAGAGGATAGTTCTGTTTGTGTAATTGTTTGGCCTAGCAGAGGGCTCAGTGCTTCCTGGGGAACTTTTGGCAATTTCTGTACACATTTTTGTTTGTCAGAACTGGAGTTATGTGGAAATACTGCTGGTATCCTTATGAGGGATGCTGCTAAATATCCTATATGCACAAGATAGCCTCACACCACAAAATATTAGTCACTGACATTTCAGTGTTACTATTAAGAAATTATAGCAGAAGCTGTGAAGATCAGAGTTAGGCATCTACATCTGTCTATGGATTATAACAGTTTAGCCAGACATCCGTTCTGATCCTATCTCATCTCTATTGTCAGTTTTTCGTAAGTTGAGTAAAATAGGATGGGCTATTCCTTATCCTTGGTAAAATAAATCAGTGATATATTTTCTTTTTTAAATGAAGTTTGCAAAATCATTTATATTGTTACACATATATGAAAAGTTTAATTAAAAAGTTTTAGAAATACTGCTAACTTTCTTTTTTCTTTTCAATTAGAAGTAAAATAAGTGAATTTACAACTGAAATTAATAAACTTCAAAAAGAAATAGAAATGTACAATCAAGAGAATTCAGTGTATTTGTCATATGAAAAGAGGTAAGTTTACAGTTAAAATATGCAATTTTTATGTATTCAGATTACTAAATATTAATTCAGTATACATTGAGTATATGGCAAGAATACTGAATTTGTAGTTACTGTGTTTAGAATGTTCATTTAATTATTTACGTATTTACAAATGTATTTATTTTATGTTTACAGAGCAGAGACTTTAGCTGTTGAAATCAAAGAATTTCAAGGACAACTAGCAGACTACAACATGGTATTGTCTTTTTTCTGAGAGAATTTCCTTTGAATATTTTCATTGCTTTTAACCACCAAAGATATATTGTTTTAAATGTGAAGTAATACCTGAATATATATTTCCTGTGAAAGATTGAGGCTATATAAAGTGCAGAGAATAAAGTGCCCCTTTCTTTTCTCCCATATGTCTCTCCCCAGAAATAACGTGTCAACAGATCATTATGTATTCTTTCAATATTAAAAACAAATACATTTACTTATATCTTAGTAACTTTTCTTGTCAGTGGGACACAATATTTGACACCAACAAATTAAAGGAGGGAAAGTTTATTTTGGTTCATAGTTTGTAGATGATTCAGTTTGTAGTTGACTGGCTCTGAGGTCAGGCAGCATTACAGAGAGGCTTGGAAATGGAGAGCTGCTCACAGCGTAGCACCAGGCAGCAAGGTGAGATCGAGGAGGACTCTGGAAGGAGATATGCCCTCCCTGGCCACATCCATAGTGACCCACCTCCTACAGCAAGCTGGGCATACCCCCGCCCCCAGATAGTCACATTCCAAAGCCAGGCCTGTGAGTGCATGAGGCTCTTACAAATACAAAATCACACACATACCTTCCACTTTAACGATATTGAAATAATTTAAAAAATAGGTAGAATTTATTGGGTGTGAATAATGCTGTTGCTTTATTTTATTTTATTTTTGTTTTTTGAGACAGGGTCTTGCCATGTAGTTCAGGCTGGCCTTGAATTCACTGGGTATCCTAGGTTGGCCTCGAACTCGCAGAGATCCTCTTGCTTCAGCCTCCCGAGTGCTGGGATTACAGGTGTGCACCACCACATCCAGCAATAATCTTGCTTTAAAAAGATTTTTTTACCTTTGTATGGAGCATTGCCATCATTAAATTAAAAATAACTTAATTATTTAGCACACAGATTGCCTTCATCTGTATGTTGTGTTCTTTGTGCGCATTCTGTCAAAATAGAGTCCATAACGAACAGTTCCATCAAGGGTGCTTGCCAATGTGGACTTTAAGAAGAAACAGTGTTCTGGCGCCTGCCTCACTAGTGCAAGTACAGGGGTTCTATCCCCGGTACCAAAAAAAGAAACAGTAGTTCCAGTAGTACTGATAACTGCTTTAATCACTGGGGTAACGGTGCTGCTGTGAACATTTCCAGTGTCAGAATTGATTCTTCCCGCCTTCTTGATTGTATTAAGCAGAAGTGGTGTCTGGATTTAATGAAAGTGACAAGCTTTTATCTCACTATTTCTAGTAAGAATGATTATGTAAATTATGATGCACCTACTTAATACTATTACATTATGTTTACCAATACATTTTTTGATTATAGTATATTGTAATCATTAAAATCGTTGAATCATACAATCTAGTATAACATTTTGGAACCTAGTATTTGGTGGAACATTTTTTAATAAATGATATTCTATTCTAAATGAGAAAAACAGTTTTACAAGGTATGAAATGATATTAGATAAAAATGATTTTTAATTATGGTGAAGTCTAATAGGTAAGGTACTTCAGATAAACATGTAGAATAAGCTGTTTGTAGGTTTAATATGTGGTAAATAGAAAGCACCTATGTATCTGATGTATAGTTAGCACTAAATATATATTAGGTCTTACTAGCACTTATTTATATTGCAAATTAAAAAATGTCATGTATACAAATATATATTTCATTAATAAAGCTTACTTTTTTAGTATCAATTGAGTCTAAATAATTTGCTTTTAATTCCTAATTAGTGACCTCTGCTTCAAACTAAGGCTCCCCTATTTCCTAAATTTTTTGGTCAAATGTAGACATAATATTTAGTGAGTGAGTTAATAATGCATGCAACAGACTCTAAATACAGTCTGTGTCGCCTGTTGCTGCCATTTCCTTTTTTTCTGTTACCAGGGTTAAACTCAGGACCTTGCACTTGTGAGGCAGGCACAGTGCCACACTGAGTTAAATCCTCGGCCCTGTCATTTCCTTTGTGAAGTAGGCTTCCCAGTGTGTTGTTTATGCCTTATTTGAAAAAGTAAAAGTGAAGAGTGAGGAAGGAACTGGTTCTGCAAAGTGAGCTTGTTCCAAGTAATAGAGGAAAAAGCAAGATAACACTGGAGAAAGCAGGGTAGGCTACCCTGAGGAAAGCCATGATAACCTGATTTTTTTTTTTTTGTAGAAAAAGTTTCATGGTTTTAATAGTGTATATTTGTAATCTATTAACATACTTTTCCTCTGGGGAAAAGATGAAAGAGTGACAGATTGGACTTTTCTAGACTTTTATAACTTTAGCCATTTTTTCAGAGGTGGTAAAGCTCTTCAAGATAATATCTGTGGTGTTTTATTATTGCTCATTTTTTTCTTGTTTTCATTTTTGTGTGGTACTGTGCATTGAACCTAGAGACTTAGCTTAAGTTACTTCTCATCATTCGTGAGAGTGAATACTTGTATTAAGAATTATATAAAACCTTAGCACTAATAGGATTTTTTAATATTTTTCTTTGTAGTTGGTAGATAAACTTAATACCAATACTGAAATGGAAGAAGTAATGAATGATTACAACATGGTAAGAAAATTTATAAATATAAGCAATATCTAGAAATAGTTTAATAAAACCTAATGGAGGCCGGGTGTGGTGGTGCATGCCTGTAATCCCAGCACTCAGGAGGCTGAGGCAGGAGGATCGCTGTGAGTTCGAGACCAGCCTGGGTTACACAGTGAACTCCAGGTCAGTCTCAACTACATAGTGAGACCCTGTCTCAAAAACCAACAAAACAAAACAAAACAAAAAAAACAAAAACCTAATGGAGCCGGAGATTTGGCCAAGGGGTTCCGCTGCCTGCCTTGCAAGTACAAGGTCCTGAGTTCGATCCCAGGTACAAATAAAAACAAAAAACAAAAGACAAAACAAAACCTAATGGACCTTAGAGATGGGTGAGTACTCTGACCCTAGTGCAGTTGAGTTCTCTTACTTGGTCTTTTTAAGTCTTTTCTCTCTTGATTGTCTCCTGAGTGGAGGCTATAGTGTCTACAAAGCTCTCTAAACTGATTTCACTTGCATTGCACATCTACATATTTGCTCCTATAAATACTATATGAGAAATATTTCTGGTTACTTTTTATACAAATGAAGCTAGTCCTCAATGAAGAGAAATGCTACTGGTTCATCATTTTTATAACAAAGGGAAAAAAATGAATAAACGTGATGCCAGACATAATCTTAACATTTGAATGGTAAATGAGAATTTGTGTTCCATGTTCTCAGGTTATTTGGTAGAAAACAATAAATGTTAATATCTAGCTTATTTAGATCCAAACATTTAGAGAAAATAACACAACTTACATAGCTTATAGTTTACATAATCAGAGACTATCTGTGAAAATTAGAATTTATAAAATGTCTTTTCTAAAATTGGAGTTCTAAAACCTTGATAATTTAGAATATTGTTAAACCGGGTGTGGCGGTGCATGCCTTTAATCCCAACACTTGGGAGGCTGAGGCAGGAGGATCCCTGTGAGTTCAAGACCAGCCTGGGCTACGTAGTGAGTTCCAGGTCAGTTTCAACTATTCAGTGAGACCCTGTCTCAAAAAAACAAACAAACAAAAAAAAAATAAAATAAAGAAATAGAATATTGTTAGAACACAGGAAAATTCATAAATTAAAAAATTTATTTTAATGCCAGAATAAAAACTAAGAAGATCTTCATGTGTTTTATTAGTATTTAGAATCCGCTAGGAATATTCAGGTAAACCCTGAATGCTTATAAGTTGTGTTGGCTGGGGATTTAGCTCAGTGGTTCCACCACCTGCCTTACAAGTGCAAGGACCAGAGTTCGATCCCCGGTACAAAAACAAACAAAAAAAACTTGTGTTGAGTCTAAATTCAACATACTGCCAGTCAGTTATGTATTGAATACTCAATTTGTTTTTTTTTTTTGGTACTGGGGATTAAACTTGGGACCTTGCGCTTTTGAGGCAGGCAGTGGAACCACTGAGCTAAATCCCCAGCCCAAGCACTCAATTCTTGAAATGCTGTTTGTATAAATTAAGTTTACATTTTATTGTTTGACAGATCACTAAAGAACAATGAATATTTTTGGTATGAGATTATGATGCTTCTTAAAAAAACTTTAATCTAGTGGTCTCTGGTAAATGATACAATTAGTGTGCATTTAATGGAACTTTGCATGTAGAATTAGAGGAGATTGGGCACACTCAGGGTGATATGGCCATAGACTGCACATAGAATTAGGATTGTCAAACTCATTTAGTTCATAACCAGAATGACCTTTAAAGACAGAGTTTGACTTAATGGTTACTTTTTTATTACTAACTTTGGTATTAACTCTTTATTCAGCTTAAAGCTCAAAATGATCGAGAAACGCAAAGTATGGATGTCATATTTACTGAAAGACAAGCGTAAGTTAAACCCATTTAAAAATCAAACAGATTTATAAGTGAGTTTTATTATAGATATTTACAATATTTACTGTTTGTACCTGTTATTTTACTATACCATTAAGTAGCTACATTTTATATACATAAAACTACCTTGTAGATTATATAAATAGGATTTCTGCTTCTGGGCATTTAAGGTGGGTAAAAATGTCTTTATAACTACCATTAACAATTTAGGCCTTTAACTAATTTGAATTATGATATTGTAGCACCAGTCTAATGAAAGATACTGTATTATTATTCACATTACTATCATTGGAGCAAAATATCTGACATCTGCATATGAAAGGAGATATGTTTTATTTTTATGAATTAAAAAATTTTTATTAGTACATATTTGAAGTACATAGTGATTACATTCATGATGCAGAGTTGGTATCTATACATAAGAAAACTTAATACCCATTTTCAAAAGATCTATCTCTCTTATCTCTTTTATTTTGCTCCTTAATTTACTTATTGTTTGGGATTCTTGTCAAATAGAAACTATATGGGTGTCTGATTTATTTCACTTAACATTATGGTCTCAGCGTATATCCATTTTTTTTACCAACGACTCAAATGTATCATTTTTATGACAGACTAATACTCCATTGTGTATAAATGCCACAATTTTTTTATCTATCTGTGGGTGGATATGAAGACCACTTCTGAGATTTATCTAGTAAGAGTTGTTCTGTGGTAAACACGAGTGTGCATATATTATTGTAATGTCACGTCTTTAACTCCATCAGGATGATACCTAGTGTGGGAATAGCTTGGGCAAATGGAATTTCCATTTTTAGCTTTCTGAAGCATCTCCACACTGATTTCCACAGTGGTGGTACTAGTTTACATTCCCACCCACAATATAGAAAGATCCTTTTTCTACTGCAGCCTTGCCAGCATTTGTTATTATTTAATTTATTGATTATAGGCATTATTTCTGGAGTAAGATGGAATCTCAGTGTTGTTTTAATTTCTACGACTACTGAGCTGCAACCCAGCCTTTTAATTTGCATTTCTTTTTGTTTTTTTTTTTCTTTTCTTTGGTTTCTTGAGACAGGGTCTCACTATGTCATTGAGACTGACCTGGAGCTCACTATATAGCCCAGGCTGGTCTTGAACTCACAGTGATCCTCCTGCCTCAGCCTCCTGAGTGCTGGGATTACAGGTGTGCGCCACCACGCCCGGTTTAAAGGCCTAATTTCTTGAGTTGTTTATATAGTTTAGATATTAATCCTCTGTTGAAAGAGCAGCTGGCAAAATTTTTTTCTCATTCTTTAGGTTGCTTCTTCACTCTTTTTTTTTTTCTGTTTATAACATTTTAATTTTTTGTTTTTGTAAACACTGGGTCTCTCTGGGTAGTTCAAGTTGGCCTTGAACTCACTGTGTGGCCCAGGCTGACCTTGAACTAATTGCAATCCTCCTGCCTCAGCCTCCACGTCATGTGTTGGGATTGCAGATGTGTGTCACCATAACCTGCACAAAACTTTTTAATTTAATATAATCTCATGTATTGATTCTTATGTTATTTCTTATGCAAATTGTTAAGAAACTCCTTGTCTACACAGATGTCTTTTAAGAGTTTGATCTATTTTATTGTCTATCAGAATGTTTCTGTTTTAATGTTTAGATCTTTGGCCTATTTTGATTTAAGTGTAGTACATGGTAAGAAATATATAATTTGAAATCTAGGTTTGTGATGCCACCTGTTGTGCTCTTGCTGTTCAGCATTTCTTTTGTTATTCTGGGTTTCTTCTGGTTTCATATGAATTTTAGAATAATTCTTTTTTCTAGTCCTGTCAGGAATGCTGTTGGTATTTTGATTGGGATTGTGTTAAATCTGTAGAACAGTTTTGGAAGTAGGGGATTTTAAAAAAATTTTTCTGATAATCCTCTTCAATTTCCTTTCTCAGAGTACTGTACTTTTGTTTTTCTTGTAATCTTTTGCTTTCTTGGTAAGTTTAATTCCTAAGTATTTAATTTCTCTTGAAGTTGTTGTGAATTGCATTAAGTACACATAATTTCCCCATGAATGGAAGGTAAAAATTAAAGATTTAGCTTTAGTTTTTTAATGTTCCTGTTTGCATCATTAAGTTCTTAAAGTTTTGCTTGCAGCTAATTGATTGCATAGGAATTGGCAAATAATTCACTTTACATGGCGGATTGAACAGGTTTCCTGTTGCTAGGACAGAATATCCAACACCCGCAACTTAAAGGAAGAGAAGTTTAATTTGCCTCACAGTTTGAGTGGTTTCAGCCTGTGGTTGTCTGGTTCCAAGGCAGAAACGTGGCAGAAGGATATGGAAGAGCAGAGCTGCTCGGTTCATGGCAGCCAGGAAGCAGCTGGTGCAGGAAAAGCACCATGGAGAAATGTACCCTCCAAAGCACACTCGCAATGGTCCACCTCCTCCAACTGGGCACTCAGTGGCCCCCCTCCTTACAGCATGTTAGACTCTGAACATCAGTAGATTAATCCAGTGATTGGTGTAGCGCCTCCATGATCCAGCCAGCTATTCAGAGTCTCTTAATCCTGTCAAGTTACAATTTCTTGGCAGAGACAGATTCTTTCTATTTCAGTCTGGGGCTAGTGTTTTCCAGAGTCTATTCTTTGGGTTATTGCACTATGAAGTTTTAGGTATACTTCTAAGAAAGGGTTTTGTTAGGAAGAAAGTCTGGAAAAATTTTAATACTGTGCTCTTGAGTAAGCAGAGAAGAGTTTAGCGTAGTAGAGTCTCAGATTAGTCTTATACCGAAGAATCTTATTTTACTTTGTTTAAACTAAGTGTTTCCTATAGTAATTTGACCACATGCCCTTTTATTTTCATATAAATCCTTCCAGATGTCTCACTGTAAATTAGTGCTCTAAAAAACAATTTTGGAAACATTGTTCTATGTATTGGATTCCAAACAGCTGTCTATGGACCACTTAAAGATTCTTCAGTCTAAAAAAAAAATTCATGAGCACATAAGTCTTATAAAAAAAAAAAAAGACTCTTCAGCCTCAATATAGGCCTATCTGAATAGTAGTCTCCCAGAGAGGCAGACAAATGCATTAAAAAACCCCCAAAATTCATAAATGTGGTGCCCACTTCGGAAGCCACCATGATTATAAAGTGTGGCAATTGTGCATAATGGTGACAGCTTTTGTTATGACCAAGATCAGTGGTAATGATTAGTGTTAATGTCTGAACACTGTGACTGTGTTTTAAATTGCTACCAAATTTTGAGGAAATTTTGTTTTGCTAATTTAGGAACTTCTAAAAATATTTTCCTAATCCATGATATCACACTGCACATGAAATCACTTGCAGGATGTAGTTGAAGCTATCATTCTTTCTTACCTTGATTCATGATATAAACCTTTATTTCTTCACTGTTTGGAACTTTAGTACAATTTAATACATATTATATAAAAATGTTAATCTGAAAATCTCTATTAATGAATAATTGGGGCCTTCTGTTTACTAGTTTTATGGGTTCTTGAACAGTGATGATATAGTATTTCTGGTATCATATATTAACTATATAACTGTTAGCTACATTAGTGCTAGTTACTGCATTTGGACCTGCTTGCTTAGTACAATAAGAAAAACATAAGGCCAGGGATTTAGCTCAGTGGTGCTACCACCTGCATCCCTGGTACCAAAACAAACAAACAAACAAACCAAACCAAAACAACAACAACAAAAAAGAAAAACATGATTTTTACTCTTCATAGATAATTGTACTAATTAATACATAGTTTGGTGTATTGTGTTTCAAAATCTCCTTCTCTAAGCTGTGAGTGGACTGCTTATATTTTTTGAGAAGTAAAATATTGAAAGTAATTAATTTTCTTTGCATAATTCATGAGTATCTATATATTTATCTTCAATAAACCCATCATCATCTAACACAAAGGAATGTAACTTTTCAAATATCACTGTAGTATCTTCTGAGTTTGTGCCTGGTATTTGCAAAGAACTTGAATTTCCAGTAAAGCCGTCTTCATAGGCTTCAGCTTCCTGCTCTTCCAGGCGGCGGTGGTTGTAGCTGAGTAGAAGATTGTACCACGTCGGGCATTTGATGGCAATAAAGATGAGGAGGGAAGTCAACAGTACAGTAACAACAACACCAACCAGAAAAGCCCAACTTTTTCCAAGAGATTCACGTTCTTGAATGAAGAAGAAACGATTTTTGTTAACTTGACAAAAATAAAATAATCATAATTGCATATTCTACTACTGTCCAATAATAGTATTAGAAATGAGCATATATTATAGTTTTCTTTAGCCAAAGTATATTAATCACTAAACAAAAGATATTTCAGTTTTGTGAAAGAATAGCTCTTTCTAAGATAGCTGCAGTTTCAGCATCCCTAACCTTAAATCCAAAATGAGCCCAAATCTGAAACGTTTTAAGCACAAACATGATTCTACAAGTAGGAACTTCTGCATGTGACCTTGTGACAAGTCACACTCAAAACCCAGGTGAACTAAAAATATCATGTAAAATTATATTCAGGCTAAATGTATAAGATTTTTCTGAAACATAAATTAATTTTGTATTCTGACTTTCTTTCTTCCCATCCCATTATGTATATCCAAATATTCCAGAATCCAAAAAAAATATAAAATCTGGAGCACTTCTGGTTCCAAGTATATCAGATAAGGGATAGTCAAATCATACTTGTCTTTGCAGATTTTGTTACTCATATGAAACCATTACTAATTCATATTTATTAAGAATTATGACTTGACTAAAAGTGAAGACTCAGAGAAGGTTTTTTTTTTTTTTTTTTTG